GTTAGCATATTAAGTCTCCATTCTGTCCACTGCACCCAGCTACACTTTGATTACCTCAATAAATCACATCCTTCGTGTCATCGAAATAATTTCAGGTTCACTCTTCATAGGGACCAACTAGCTCAAATAACGTGGCTTCTAAAAATTATTTATTTCCTTATTAGCTTATCTGGTAATTTCACAATAAGATTTTCTCTTATCATTTTAAATTACACGCTCTTGATTCCAAACTTATGTTATTATATCGTCCTCAACTGACAATCCTAACAGAGCATTTTCAGGGCAATTAACACGAAATATTGTAATTTTATGAGAACTTGCTAGCGACATTTCTCGTAGGCGAATTTGCTTTTAAATTTATTTTGCCATGCAATATTGGCCCATAATATTTTTGGGAAATATTTACAAATATAAATATACTGTATTTTTTGCAGGATCTAAAGCACTATAGGAGATTGAATGGCTATACGCTTTTCACTTTGGTAAATAAGAAAAAGTACGGAAATATTGCTCCTGGTATGCAACCTGAAGATTGCATCGAAAGCGGCTCAAAAAACAGGCCCTGGCAGGTGAGAATGTCGTTGAAACTGTTTTCATTTTACTCTTAAGACATATTATATTGAATTTTATTTGCAGGATTAGTATTCATTTAATACTATTATTATTATTACCATTAATAATATTGTGCCAAGGTCTCTTCAAGTTTACTCTCTTTGTCTTGACTATTATATATTTCAGCACCACTATATTATATTACATCTTTTTCTATGACTTCTATACAGGCTCTCTGGTCAACTCTGCCAGAAAAATCTCGCCGGGAATGGAAATCAAAGGCTCGAAGATTGCTGAAGCAAACCCAGGCGCACCAGAAGCGAGAGGCTGGTGATGAAGGTAGACGGGCTGCTGAGCGTCGACGTCTTCAAAGCCAATTAGCGAGATCCAAGACAAATACTTTCGCACTCATTGATCTGGCTGCCCATTTTCAGCTCTTAAGCGAGCGAATGACTGGCCTGGCTAATCAAGTATCACAATATCGAGTAATTTCAAATTTAGCATACACTCTTAATAATAGCGCTGTAGGTAGTTTAGCAATGGTGTATCGGTTTATGTCTAATTTATTTAGTAGTCTTCTTTGATCGATTTCATGATAACACGAGTCATTCTTTTTTATTAAAAAGATGTTCTAACAATATTCTACGCTTCGTGTCCTCCCACTACCTTGGCGAAATGTAAGATTCAGCCTCTTTGAGTGTAGCGTAGTGGTTAACGTGTCGAGATTATACGCGGCATTGCCATTATTCGAGTCCCCCTGCGGTTATTAGTACACTCAACCGCAGTTCACCCTACATAATAATATTTTTTTGGAAGGCAACGCTACAAAATTCAATGGAAGCGTCATTTCTACTCATATAATTGGGGAAAAATTCAGCCATTGGTCCCCTGAACGAAATAGGATAAATACATCTCATATATTTAGTGAATTTCTTCAAAAATCTGGCAATGCAGATTACATTTAAACTGGTATACCTTGACATTTTTGAACTTTTAATTGACTAGAAGAAATCTCTTAAATGTAATCAAGCCGAATCTATACTATAGGATGATGTGAGCGACCTAAGTGTGATTTTTTGAAATCTTATCGTCTTTATCAAAATGGATGATGCGTCGATCAAAAAATCAGAAATCTGACTTTTTATCTATTTATCTCGTTTAATATCAGTTTCTATTGTGTATATCTTATTGGATTTAAATAAAAATCGGACCATAATTTAACCTCACCCTTTCTGAAGATAGAATATGAATGTATCCAATTAATTTTGTATATGTAAACAGGAATTTATTCGTATCGATTACTTTGAATTTATATCCAGTTGTATAGTCTTAATATTGTACATAATGATTTATCATGCTTTTGTTCACCTTAACTGTTATCAACTAGCAGTTTTCGTCTAATGCTTCTTCGTGCATACAATCTCACTACCGTTTTTCAAACTGTACAGCAGATGAACACATTTTATATTCATTTTCATTTTATAATGCACTTCGTATAATAGTTCAGTGTTACGGATCCAATTTTAATTTTAGGTTAACGTTTATCTTTTATCTTAACATTTTTTAAATGTTAAAATTATTAGAATATATGAAGACTATGATGTTGTGGCCTCTGTCATGGTCGCAGTATATAAAAATAAAGTCTGCCCCGTCCTCCAGTAGCACCTGAGAAAGTGTGGCCTAACGATAAAATAATGAAAATGAATGTTACATTAGGAATATAATCACGCTTTGTCGCTTTGGATGATTTAATTACTAGCAGTTGGATTTTCCGATAGTGAAATGAGCAGGCGTCATAATGACATTGAATTTCCTTTCTCCCTACTTCCCAAGTAGGAGTGGATTGTAATTTTGACCTCGCTCAGATCTCAGGTGCACCTCTAACTGTATTCGATAGCGGATCTTGATTAGTATGGACTGTTAGTACTACACTCCACTGCATAGCCAGGTGTGCCAATGGGCAGATGCAAAATTAAACCCTGACCAGTCCCATTCCTACTCACATTTTAAAGTAGGATTTTCAATTATTCAAGATCAATTGATAGCAACGAAATATACTACCCTCCAGTTTGATTAGATTTTAGGACCATAGATACATTATCTCGCTCGTCTACTTGACTCTGAACTATTTGTGCCGATTAAGCAAGAATCAACTCAAACCAAGCTGTTGAACTGAACATTTCTCACAATAATATAATATAATAATATTATATAAGTCTACTATATTATAAATTATTAATCCGGCTTCAGAAAATTCAGAAAATTAGTGTTAAAGTATGATTTCAGAAGAGTGCCATTCTTCATCAATTCAATTTTTAGTTAGCGTTTATTAAGCGGATTCGGAGACTATCTGTTTCAGAGGCTCTCATTAAATATGGATCAGACTAATAGTTGATAGGCCAACATAGAAACTGCTATAATTGCAAAAGTAAATGGGATCCAGATGTATATCAGAGCATAATGACAGTTACTTTTCTAATTATTAAATAGATCGGAGCATCCTAGACGTTGTGACAGAGCATAGTGTTAAGTTTTTTATACAAGGAGATAGACTTCCCATCGTTTGATTTACAGTGAGTATCAGTTTACTCTCTCAAAATGAATTCACACTTAAGCCGATACATAACAAGATCACCAAACTTCTTTCAAACCATAATTCTGCTCCTTGACCTTTCTAATTACAGAGCTGTCAGATCCCATATGCTCAAGCAGAGCTGACTGAAATTGATGCTTCGCTTGAATACGGTCGAGACTTTAGAAAAATTCAACGTAAAGAATAGATATAAATAAAAAAAGCTTTCAGATAAACCATAAAAATAAAATTAGAGGGATGCATTTTAGGCCTTGCCTTGAATATATTTATACAATGAATGTATAGTTAGAAGTGGGTTGACTCGTTGTCGCAACTTGGTCTTGTTGTCAGGGCGACTATGTAGAACGCACCTAGTC